AGAAATTGTTTATAGTAAACCATTATTTCCGACCATAAAGAAATGGACGGAACAATAGTTCAAATTTAAAATAAAAATATCGATAAGTATTATAATCAGATCTTATATGCTCCAAAACGTAGCCTTCAAGTCCAAACAACTCAATTTCTTGGATCTAACCGCCGCGATGTGATTGTATATAAAGAAACTACTCTCCACAGTGAACGAGTGAACTGCCAGCAATCAGCAAAATAGTGAAAAGAGTGATACTCAGCAGACTCCAAGCTGAAACGAACAGACTGAACATCATACCTGAAGCCCAAGTCGGGGCTTCAGATCAGAACACTCCAGCGAGCTACAAGTACTCAGACTAACACAGTACATAGCAGCTGGATTCAACGATAAACAATACACAGGAGCTGCATTCCTGGATGTAAGCAAAGCATTCGACAGAGTCTGGCATAAGGGACTATTATACAAAATGAGAGGATACGGGTACAGCGGAGCAATGACAAGACTAATCTCTTCGTACTTGGGCGACCGTAGTTTCAGAGACCGGATACGACAAGTCCTGTCCGAACTCGGGAACCCGGAGGCCGGAGTGCCACAGGGAGCGATACTGTCACCTTTGCTGTACACGATATACACAGCAGACATACCTAGAACACCAGGTACACTATTAAGTCTCTATGCCGACAACACAGCGATAGCGGACAAACACAGAAATGTAGACATAGCAGTCACCAACCTACAGACAGCATTAGACGACACAGAAGAATGGAGTCTAAAGTGGAAAATAGCAATAAACTCAGACAAGACGCAAGCTGTACTTTTTAAAAAGAGGCGAGAACAAATAATGAGTATCCTATTATTCATCCCATAGCATGTTATGACCAGTTATACAGCCTGAAGTAGACATTCCGATGAATAAGAATGAGAACACAATATATAAATACTCATACTCTCATAAATCACACCTGTTTGGTGATGTCCTCCATTTTTTACTTCCCTTCAACTTATTTTCAGCAAAATTTCTTTAATATTCATCGGCCTTACTTGGCTAATTCTTGTTTCGTCCGACACGGAATGGTTATTAGGTTTCAGAGAATGACTATTTCGGAGGCCGGCTAAGCGTCATCGTAATACACAGGCTTTGGAGGGATATAGATGAAATGTCTTTCCAGATTTTTTAATATTCGGCTCAACTAGTGATAAATATTATGGATAACATTGCAAAACCAAAGATGAAAGAGTTATTGAGAGCGAGGACAGCTCTATGAATATACCTACACCAGATGGACCAACCACTAGTATAATGTACTACTGTCTGAAGCATTCGTGCCTGGAGAGAACAGTATTAAACGTGCCTGTGAGAACCTCAGGAACAGGCTTGAGGGCCTGGCTAGACTAGTCAAGGTAAATTCAACAAGTAAAACAGAGGTAAAAAATCACAAAAAATGCGCAAAGGACCTGATGGTCAGTACATTGTATGTCATTGTCTTTTAAGGAAATGGATACAAATACAAGAGTAGTTAAGCAGGATACAAACTGGTTCATGGAAGTCGTCGGGAAGAACTGGCTCGATACTACCTTTGAAAAGGTAAAACCTGTGGGTGGGACGCCTTGGTAACTGGAAGATAGTTACACCGTACTGATATGTGTATGCAGGAAGGAGGAAAAAACAACAGAGTGAGTGTACTACGACACTATCCTTAAAGAGAATGCCCGAATTAAGTCGGATAAGCTTATATCCAGCACCCATATGCAATAACACAAAAAATGAAATGTGCTTGAATGGGGAAGAAAACATCTCTGCTGGAGAGAGAAGGATGACTGGGCGTTTGTAGTGGGAATAGCAGAAAAGACTCAGCCAAATTGTAAAAAAAGTACATATAAACTGACTCATTTCACTGTAGATTATATTGATGATATTCTGATATTTTCTAGTAGAACACATCACGTATTTACCAAATTTTTAATATTTAATATTTAATTAATAAAGTCAAATATCTAGGTCATCCATTTAAAAAACAATACTATCAAATCAGATAATGTAATCTGGATAAAAATTTCCCTGAGCCAAAAACTCAAAGGAATATAGAGCAGTTATTAGAGCAAATAAACTTTTACTATACATAGTTGAACTAACGGAGCCTATTAAGATACGGCGAGGAGTCAGACGGGGTGACACTATATCACCCAAACTATTCAATCAATCTTTGGAAGACGTTATCAGGAAATTACAATGGGAAAAACGGGGTATTATCATAAATGGCCAATACTTGAATCACTTGAGATATGCAGACATTGTACTAATAACAGATAAAAGGGAAGAATTACAAAATATGATGGATGAATTAAATAGCGAATCAACAAAACTAGGTCTACAAATGAATTATAATAAAACGAAAATTGTGACCAACCAACCAGAAGAATTAATAATTACAATTGCACAAACAACTGTAGAACAAGTAAAACAATATGTATATTTGTGACTAGTTAAATTAAATAAAGAAGATCAGACCGGAGAAATAAAGAGAAGGATATGGTTGGATTGGGTATCCTTCGGAAAACGTTCCGTTATACTAAAAAATAGAAAATACTCCCAATATTTACAAACAACCAAAGTCTTCAACCAATGTATACTTCCTGTTCTAATCTACGGTTCTCAAACTTTTACGTTTACAAAGGAAAACCTGCATCAGACAAGAAAAGAAATACTTGGATCCGCAACAAAACAAAAGTGACCGATGTATCAACGCAGATAGCAAAACTTAAGTGGAAGTTCGCTGGACATACCATAAGACAGAAAGACGACAGATGAAATAAGATGAATATACACTGGAGACCATATAATTACAAACAAAAAAGAGGAAGGCCACAAATGAGATGGTCAGATGACTTGAAGAAACCGAAGTGGATACAAACTGCCCACAATAGAGAGACGTAGAGGAAGGAAGAGGAGGCCTATGTCCAAGATTGGACAACAAGAGCTGTATAGATAGATAGATAGACCTATAAAATTGTGCAACAATACTTGATTCATTGTATAGTTTGCTCGGAAAAATCAACAATGCATTTGGTCTCATGAGTGTCAAAAATCAGTTGAGGCGACAAAAATATATTTATGTTCGCCACTAATTTTAGAAATAGATAATTTGATTCATGTATGTCAAAACGTGTCATGCTCAATTTTTAGCAAAAACAACTCCTCAGCATGTATCTGAGTTGTGTATTTTTAAGGATAGACAGATACAAGACACATAGAGTTTAAAGAGTTTAAACGGTGTAGCATAGTTTGGATCCTATGACCTAAATATTAATATTTATGAACTAATCCTATTTCGTTGTAGTCGACTTTTGAATTTTTGCTTGGTACCAGATTTGTTTGAAGAAAAAGGTTTACAACCAATGCATACTGCCAGTAATAACATATGGTTCCGAAACAATAACTTTAACCAAACATTCTGCAAATAAATTAAGAGTAAACCAAAGAAAAATGGAAAGAGCAATGTTGGGAATAACTAGAAGAGATATGGTACCAAATAGGATAGTGAGAGAGAGGACTAAAGTGACAGATGTCATAGAAAAAATTGCACAAGCCAAATGGAGATGGGCTGGACATATAGCACGTTTAAATGATAATAGGTGGACCAAAAGACTCATAGAATGGAGACCTAGAGAAGACAAAAGACACCGAGGCAGACCACCAAAAAGATGGATGGACGACTTGAGAAAAACAGCCGGAAATTGGATACAGAAGGCGCAAGATAGAGAACAGTAGAAGAGACCAATATCCAACAGTGGATGCAAGAGGTTAAGGAATGATGATGATGATGATGACCAGATTTGTAAGCTTACTCAGTAAGCATAGTTACAATCTCTTTAAGTCACCTGTTACAAGAACAATGTCGTGGGTGTGAGAGCATTTCGCCGTCTACATTAATACATTTGGCTTCTCACTCTAATTTTTTAAAATCATGTTCCAGAACTGCCGTAAAGAGTTTGGCAGATAACCTGTTAGGTGCAGATAACTTTATTAATTTTTATACAGTTTATATCCGTGTGTAGTCTTACGGTCATGGTTGCAGTATTGTATATATCCGGGATTCGCAGTTTGGAGTACCGATAATCTATGTGACTTTCCTCCAACTCTCGCTTTTAATTTCTATCGTATCAAATGCTTTGCGAAAGTCTGCCAACTCTAGGGTCAATAGTCGGCTTTATACCAAAACAAATGGTATTGACCGAAAAATCTATAGACTTGAAACAAGAAGCCCTTAAATTGAATCTAAATATTATTGAATTTAAAACAAAATATATGGAGTTCACAAATTGGATTGACATGAGAAACTAGAAGTAGAGAACCATACCTACAAATAGGCTTCTAGCTTTCATTACCTGGGCTTAATATTAAATGACTACTGTAGATAAGAATCTATAAACACTTATTAGACCAGTAATCACGTATGGATGCGAAACATGGACCGTCTTAGGCGGTGATGAAAATCAATTAAAAATATTTGAGCACAAAAGATTAAATAAGAAAATAATCCCGGAATGGCAGCCCCAACAAAATAGAACAAGAAGAGGACGTAAAGACGTATGGACGATGTAGAGGAGGACTTTACAACTGTGAAGATTAGTCAGTGGAGAAGGAAAGTAACCGACAGGGTAGAATGAAAGAAAGTTTTTAAGCTGGCCAACACTTACAAAGGGTTTTACTACCAGGTGAAGAAAAAGATCGCATTAGTCAACCCGTCAAGAGGGCAAATCTCAAAAATAATATATTTATACGAATTTATTAAATTACTAAAATTTAGGTAGATATTATAGATTTTTAAATGCCGTCTAATACAAAGCAACCAGTAAGTTTGCATCTTTCATTATTGTTTATATAGTATCCAGTATTTCATTATTGTTTTTATGATAGAATAAGGTATGTTCTTTAATAACTGTTTTAAATCACCCTGTGTCATATTAACAATAATAATACAATGATAAGAGTCGCGTATACTTACAGGTACTTTATTATCCACATCTGAAAGTTCATTTTCTATAGGTTCCAATTCGCTGACTTCCAATGGACACGTTACTGAATCTTCGTGAGCACTTGTACAAGATTCTGTAAAGAAGAGGCCAAATTAATACTTACTATCTGTTCTACGTAAAATTTTATACAGTTAAAAATAAAAAATAAAGATTTACCGTAAAACAGATCTAAATTTTATGAATACTTAATGTATTTTAAAGCAATCTTATGAGAACTTAACTACAAATTCACCTTATTTGGTAATTGCTATATACTACTGAAAAATATTGCCGAATTCTACCAAAACTCTACTGACGGCCCAGAAATTATGAAATGCGAGGTAGAACACGCTATAAATAATGCAAAAATTAGAAAAGCTTGTGGTCCAGATGATACACCAACTGAGTTAATGAAACTAATAGACAATTATAACATAAAAGTAGTAGTCAGACTTTTTAATTCAATATATCACACCGGAGTGATTCCCACAGATTGGCTCAAATCCATCTTTGTCGCAATAACTAAAAAACACAATGTGAAAAAATGCTCAGAATATCGATTAATTGGCCTAATAAGCCACACTCTTAAAACTTTCCTAAGAATACTTCACAACAGAATTAGACGCAAATGCGAAGATCTTGAATATACCCAATTTGGTTTTAGAAGTGCTATGGGAACCAGGGAGGAACTTTTGCGCACCCTATTACAAAAATGCCGTAACCAAAGAAAATATCTATTTGCATGTTTCGTAGACTTCGAAAAGGCATTCGATAAAGTACAGCATGTAAAAGCAAATACTGAAAAATATCGGAATAGATGACAAGGATATTCGTGTCATTAAAAATTTGTACTGGAATCAAACTGCTATCGTAAAAATTGGAGATAACTACACCGATGATATCTCTATACAACGGGGAGTCAGACAAGGTTGCATTTTTTCGGTCAATGTTTACTCGAACCAGTTATTTAAAAAGGCACTTGAGGGACAACTATATGGAATAAAAATCAACGGGGAACTACTTAATGTCATTAGATATGCAGACGATACAGTAATTATATCAGATAATATTGAAGGACTTCAAATTCTGCCTGATCGTATTCACGAGGTCGGAGAGGAAATGGGCATTAAAATAAACTCAAACAATACCACATAGTGTTAGTCGTGACCCACATCCCAATGCAAAGCTTCAATTAAACGAAGTCCAAGTTAGAAAGGTCACAAATTAACATATTTGCGAACTGTGATAACGGACCAACTAAATCCAGACATAGAAATAAAACGTAGAATAGCAATGACTAAAACTACTTCTATAAAAATGAAGTCATTTATTTGCAATAACCATCTCAGTTTAGAACTAAGACAAAGAATGGTTAAGTGCTATGTTTGGTCCGTATTTATGTATAGTGCAGAAGTGTGGACGCTAAAAGTATCGATCATGAACAAAACTGAAGCATTGGAAATGTGGGTTCATAGACGAATACTGAAGATACCTTGGACAGCAAGAAAAACTAATGAAGAAGTAGATACTTATTTTAAAGGTCTTTTTATGGATATGTATATATATATATACATATATTACGTATAAAAAACTTTAATATCATTACCCCCAAAAACTCATCTCTTTTCTCACAATTTAACGTTGAATAAATAAATTGATATTCGCAAAAAATGTCTCTCTTCACCGACCATATCTGACTTTGTATTGTAATTAGAATGTCTTGTAAAAATTGAATCTCATTCTTCTTTATAAGCTTCATTTTGTTTTGTATACTTTTTTATCAAAGGCATACTGTTTTGCATACTTTTGTTTGAGTTATTCATGAAAAACCAGTAAAAAAGGCGACTTTTTTCAATGAAAATTCGATGTTTTCGACCACAAATAGCTCAAACAGTATTGACTTACTGAAAAAATTCTATAGAATAAAAGTTGCTTAAATTTAATCGTCTATGATTCCCGTAATTATTTTAAATCATTTAGCAAAATATAACTTTTATTATTTGAGCACTTTTCCTTCAACTCACCCAATTTCAAGAGAATCGGCTCAGTACGGTATAACATTGGGAGGTGAATAGTCGGAATGACTGGTGTGTTTGTAGTGAATTAGTTGTTATTAAGGGACACGATATTCAAAAATATTATTTGAATATATTTTACCGATTTGTTTAAATATATTTCCCGTCAAGACTTTTTCAGGGTGTAGTCAATTATCTTGGCTGAAAAAATAATTATTTTATATAATTTTAAATTATCTTGGTTTTTCAATCCCATGAATCCCCTGCCATTAGGGGTATGTAGCTTAGAATTTCTTACCTAGGTTTTCAACAACCTTGAATAATCTATGTTAAGGTACAGTATTTGAGACCATCAATAGTTTCAAATTATATACAGAGTGGCCCAGAAGTCTGGAAACGGCCAATTATCTCGTAAATTACCAGACATAATTATATAAAGTTTCGGGTACACCTATTTTGGGATACGGAGATTCCATATTTGATATTTGCAATGTTGCCAGATATGCCGTTTTTCTTTTATTATTAGTAACTTTGGTTTTTCAAATTCATCACCCTGTATATTCACTCATTATTGGAATCTCCTTTTCAATACGAGTTTAACCATATGTAACACTTATGATTTTATGTAGTCTGGAAGGTCTTAAATACATAAAACAGAAGTCTGGCAACGCCTAATTGTCTCAATAAATTTTTTAATACTAACTATTTTTAACTAGATTAAAACGTAACAATTGATAGATTACAACATTTTTTTAACACAATGGTTACTTTATCAACTATTTAAAATGTGTTCCATTTGTGAGTTGACAGTACCCTAATCGATGGTAGAATGCGTCTACTACATTTTTACATGATTGTCTATAATTTATTTGAGATTCATCGATTTTTCGTTGCCTAAGTTTTGCAAGACTTACTGGTTTAGTTTTGTAAACTGAATTTTTTAAGTATCCCCAATAAAAATATTCTTTAGGATTGAAATCAGGTGAACGTGGAGACAATTCAATTCTACCTCTTCTACCGATCCATTGTCCTGGAAATATCTCTTCTAAATAACTCCGAGCATTTACTATAAAATGAGCTGGATCTCCATCTTGCCCATATCTAATTAAAATTGGCACCAACCAAGTTTATCAGTGTAAGTACAATTTCATTTCTAAGTAACATTTCGTATCTATCTGAAGTTAAATTTCCTTCGATAAAAAATGGCCCAATTAACTGAGTACCTACTATACCTGACCATAAATTTAATTGACACTTGATAAAGTAACCATTATTTTAAAAAATGTTGTAATCTATCAATTGTTACATTTTAATGTAGTTAAAAATAGTTAGTATTAAAAAATTTATTGAGACAATTAGGCGTTGCCAGACTTTCTGTTTTGTGTATTTAAGATCTTCCAAACTACATAAAATCATAAGTGTTTTGAGCTTGTATTGAATAAGAGATTCCAATAATGACTGAATATACACGGTGATGAAATTGAAACACCAAAGTTACTAATAATATAAGAGAAACGGCAAATTTGGCAACATTGCAAATATCAAGTATGGAATCTCCGTATCCTAAAATAGGTGTACCTCAAATTTTGTACAATTATGACTAGCAATTTACGAGATAATTGACCGTTTCCAGACTTTTGGGCCACTCTGTAATTACGTTTACATACATTTGATTTTGCTTGAAGGACTTATTACTTCCAAGGTGGTAGAAACAAGCACTTTTCGAATTTCGATATTCCCAAAGCATAAACCAAAGTATTATTTCAAGAAAATTAAATTATATCAGTCAAAAGTACTTTCAGACAATGTGAGTAGATACTCACTAAAATACTCCCATTTTGGAAAGTATGGTATATAGAGTCTTAGAGCGTACTCAAAAATCTGAAAAAAGTCAGAAAGATAGTTCTACTAACCACCAATCGACATGAATGACATTTTCAAAGAGTAGATTCATATGTAGAATCATAAAGTAGTCACATTTTTGAAAGAATTCTTTATAGAGCCTTGAAGCGCACCAAAAAATCTAAAACAATTTAGAAATGGAGTTCTATTGACCACGAGTCACCATCATGATCATAATTTTCTCAATCTTTTTGAAAGTGCATGTTCTTTATAGGAGGAGCAGTAGCAAAATTCCTAAACTTTTTTTTTATTTTTTGGAGTATCCAGGGAGTACAAAATAGTATAACGGCCAATGCGAAACTGCTCGTCGTGGTGATATGAAAGATTACGGATTTAAATTAAAATTAAACTTTCGAAAAGAAGTAGCATTGGGTATCTGGGAAACACACGTGTAGTAATAGATGAAAATGAGAAAGTAAACAATCTAGCAAACACCGATAAATAAACTCACAATATAGGTACAACAAAATTTAGAAATACATCGATCTTAAAAACCTTAAAGCTCAGTATGAATATGGCAAACTATTCGAAAGATGCAGGAACCAAACTAAAAAAAATATCTCCTCAGACCAAGTAATAATTAACCGACAAAGAATTTTACATACTGCACTAACCCATGAGTTTTTAATCAAAAACGAATCTTCGCCAACCTGCAGAAAATGTTCTCTCCCGTTGCCGGTGAAATAGTGCTACTCTGTAAGCATGTAACTGTAAACACAGCGTGTTTTTCAAGCAGTTCGAATCTATTAATCAAAGCGATAGGATGCTGCCCCGTGAGACGATGCTAGCATGTAGTACACGAACTCAAAATATAGTTTCTTCGGCACGTTCGTGTTTAAAGAAGGTAACTTAAAATATTTCTAAAACATCATATTATAATTATTATTGTAACGTCAATAAATCTTTATGTTGTTAGAATATCGATGAGCTTCCCATTTTTCCAAAAGTAAATTTTGAAACATTTTCACTTTTTTTTTCAAATTATGAAAGTGAAAATCAAAAGGAAACATACTTAAAAAGGTTGCTAACTTTTTGCTCTTCAGACGATTTGGTACGGGATTCCCCGTGCACGGGAAAGCCCAGTCGATGACAGTGACCAAGATAAGGATTATTACTGTCTAAGACCACAATAATATTTTGGCCATAGCGAAAATTATGACGAAATTAAAATTAAGGC